TTTCAAAGATGAAGTATTTAATCATATGCAATTCAGCATTACCCACCATTATGAATTTGTACAAACGTTCAATCAACCTACAGGCTGCACAACCTATTTAAGGGCATAGTTGGGATAGAAAAGTGCTTAACATATTTATAACTTTTCATATCTGCTGCATATGTACAGAACTAGAAAAACATGCTAACCATATGGATAATTTTATTTATCTTTTTCTTCTGGGTGTGCTCCCAAACTTACTGAAATTTTGCCACCTGAAGGCAAAATTCAGAAAGCCAATCCAGAAGCATGTCAATATCCTCAAAAATAAGGCTTCAACCAATCAGAGACCTTATTTATAAGTTTCTCATCTTAGTAACTTGATAAAATATACTAGGAGAGGCATCCCAAATAACTTCCTGTTTGGTTTAATGAGTTTCAGGTCATTGAGGAACAGATTGTAATCTATTAAACACAATATTGCTTGATTTAGCTAAGTATTCAGCATGTATTTATTCATTTTGTTGATCAATATGCATTTATTAAACACTTAATATGAACACAACACTGAACTATAGGCAAAAGGACTATAAAGATAAATAGGATGCTGCCTGTGTTTAAAGGACTTAGGTGGAGACAAATAGAAAAAGAAAGGCAATTTCTCTATCGTTGATAAGTGCTATGATAAATATGTCTTATGGAGCATAGAAGATGGTCCCTAATCCTAGCAAACACTTCTTGAAAGAAGGAAGACCAAAGCAAGAATTAGAAGCTACATAGGAATTTGCCATATGAGAGTAGTGTGGAAATAGAGAGCAAGCAGGTAATAAAGGCATTTCAGGAACTGGAAAGAGCAGAAACAAAGGCAGAGAGGCATGACATAGCTTTGTCTTGTGTTCAAGGGACAAAATAATTTGAAGTAACTGGATATTGGAATGTGAGGCATGTCTGGTAAGAGATTAGAAATGAGCACTGGCTGAGAGCCACATGGTGGGATATTGTTCATGTTCTGAAATACTCAGACTTTTAAACTGTGGGCATTGGGCAGCCAAGAAAACATTTGAAGAATGCAAATAATGTAGTAAGATCTTCATGATAGTGGTAACCTGGGTATATATGCAAGTATGTGAAGCACATATTTTCAGTGGACAAAAATGGACCAAAAAAAAAAAAAAAGACCTGTTATGATATTCCTATAGTTCAAATGAGAAATGAAGAAAATTTCATCTGGGTAACAATCTAGGCCTTATCTCTTTGAGTGAGGAGAAATTTCCACTTCCAGAAATATTTAAGAGGTAAAATTTGCAGGACTTGATTAGGGTTGACTATAAAGGATAGAAGGAAGAAGAAGAAATAAAAAATGTTTGCAAAGTTTTTAATCTGTATATCTGTGTGATTAGTAATGCATCAGCTGGAATAGACTAGAAGAGGCTACAAAGGTTAAAAGTGTAAAATAAATTCAATTTCGGCATGTTGAAATTTGCGGTGCCTCTGATATATCCAGAGTGGTTTAATGAGCAGTTGGATATGCACAAATAAAATTCAAGGCAGTGATGTCGATTTGGGAATTATCTGCATATTGATGGTTATTAGAACCATGCACAGAAAAATTGGCTCGAGTGGGAAGAAGTGAGACAAAAAACAGAGGTTAACTACATGCAGCTCTACCACCTTCTACTTGTAGCCAATGCTTATATCTATCAACGTCCCAGTTCCTGCACTTCATTTATTGACAACTTTGGCTCATGGGTCATTTTCTTTCTCTCCAGTCCAAGGTGACATCATTACAGATGGTTCATCTAATCCTCTGGGCTCTCAACTCCTTGATCAGCTTTGAAGTCCTTCACCAACTCTTAACTTCAGGAATTCACATCCACACACCTGTAACTTGTCCTCTACTATCTCATTTCAAAAATTTTAGGCTCAGTTTTCCCATTTTATAAATACAAACTTTAAACTCTCTCACACTGATGTTTCCACTGTTGTTCTTTAACCTTATCAATAATTCTATTACTACTACTCTATTGCTTTCCAGTCTTACTCTCTACTACATTCTCATCATTGCTCCTTCTAGTTTTTTCTTGCTCCATGTACCCCAGAATCTACCATTATCTTGCCAATAATCTAAAACCATTTGCCTTGTTATCCATTTTTCATGTGCCTAAGGATCCACAGCTGAGTCTAATTTGTTTTTAATTTTAATTTATTCAGTAAACACTTATGTGACACTTATATAAGCTATTCTTTCTAAGAATTTAACAATTTTTAACCATCTTAATTCTCCTAACAAAACTATGAGGTGGATACAACCAGGATGTTCCCTCTAAGAGGAACTCACACCATCACGCAAGTTTGTGATCCCCAAACTGGAACACAAAATTCTTCTGCTACATTGACTTTTTCCTCTCTTTTGGGCATAATTTCTATGGAGAAATCAATCATCGTGTTGTGATAAAGGCCCAACTGTCCCATGCAGAGAAACCATGGAGGATAATTGAGGCTACCAGTCCTCAGCCAGCATTGACTACCAGCCATATGAGTGAAATGAACACGCCTTTGATGAGTTCAGCCTCCAGACTTTGAGTTTTCTAGTTTAGACATTATATGTCACCAAGTAAAGACTGGACATCCTTACCATGTCTAAACTTCTGAACCACAGAATTGGTAGGTTTTGGAAGAATTTGTTCTGCAGCTGTAGCCACTGGGAACACTACCAACAACAAGCTTATTGCTAAATCCAATGATCACCTTTCCAGTCTTAATTTTACTTGATTATTTGACACAGGTGATCAAACCCTCTATCTTTAAACACTAGCTTTATTTGCTGTGTATACCACTGCATACTATATATCCATGGTATTTACATCTTTCTCATCACTCTTTATGAGTAACCAGTGAAACCTCCCCTACCCATTCCTTTCCTTAGGGCTCTATTTAGGCTCTCTCTGGGCCAGTGGTCCTCAATGAGGACTATGCAGTTGAAAACAACTACTCCACAAGATCTTACTCACTTCCATGGCTTCAATAATCTCCTACATGTTAATATCTTCTCAATATATATTTAGGCCACAAAAATGTAGCAAACCACTAACAAGCATTAGAAATAGCTCCTTGGATATTTCACAGATACCTCAAACTCAACATGCACCAAAATGAATGTGGCATCTTCCCCATTACACTTGCTCTTTCTGTTTATTTTATTTTTTCAGTGAAAAATGTTAACATCCAATACAACTAATTTCCTAATCAAGAAATCTAGGATAAAACTTTGCCTCATTTTCCTCTTTTAGTACCAATCCTAACATCACAGTATAATTAATTCATTATTAATTAATTAATCAATCAAGTTCTATTGATTCCAGTTAATCAATACCCATCTCTTAATTCATAATGCCACCTTACCCTTCTGCAAGCCATATCAACTCTTTATTTAGTTATTATACTACTCTTAAAATTTGACTCACTTTCCATGTGACTCTTTTTCAATCTATTCTCCATCCTATAATCCAAATATTTCTATAGTACAAATTTGAACATGTCTTTCCTTATTTAATACCTTTAAATAGCTGATCATTTCCCTAAGGATCAAATTCAAACTCTTAACATAACAAATATAACTTCAGCTTCACCTTTACCAGCTCTATTCTCCGTAGTCTATCCTAATTTCTCTCTCACTTCTTTGTATTATGTCTCCTTTACCCAATCCTCTTATTCAACAAGCTCTTTAAATGGTTAATTAATTTTGTCTCTGTTTATGTAGTACTAATTCAAAAGCCTTCTTTGCCACATTAAGATATATTGAGCTACTGTACTCATAACAGTTTGTGCTTATCTCTACCAAAGCACTTTCTAACCATGATTATAATTGCTTATTTACATGTTTGTGTCCCACTAGACTTGTAGCTCAATGATGGCAAAAAACTTTTGTTCACAATTGTACTCAGTGCCTAGCAAATTTCCACTTAAATAAATAGTCTGCATTACATATTTACTGGATTAGTGATTAATGAATTGACTAAAACTGTCTGTAAAATATAACCTTAGAGCCCTTGATACAGAAAGGAAGAAGCACACTTATGAAGGTTTACAATATAGATTTGAAGTGAGAAACTGGAGATGAACAGCCTAGACAAACCTTGTGATTAGTTAAGTGAGAACACAAAGAATGAAATTTAACTGAAGATCCAATAGTAAGTGTGAATAAAAGTAAGATACTATTGAGAGTTGTAAATATTAAGACAAAAATATCATGTGTTTCCACTGTGACATATATTTCTTCTTTTTAAATACATGTGTCACATTTGCAAGAAAATATTAATTGCCTAAGTATTTAATTATTTTTTTCTCCATGATGGCAGGAATCTCAATTAAGGAGCTCAATAAATATTATTCTGTTTTAAAATGGTAAGAGTCAAAGAATTAATTAGGCAAGTTTAAAGAGTAGGGCAGCTTGAATACTGAAAAATAAAACAAAACCATTCTTTAGAATATAATGAAATTGCAAATTATTGCTAAGCAATATATATTAAAGTGAAAGATAAAACATAAAATTTCTTGTTAATATCTTAAATTAATCGAAGTCTTTGCACCTCCAATGAATATTTTTAGTACATGAAATAATGTCTCTATACAAAAACACGTCCCAACATCACTTACATATGTAAATAATTAAACAGTATTTGCTCTGGTAGTAAGTAGTTTTATCATTATAAGGCTATTTCTCAGTATTCAGAGTTTGGGGAGATCTTGAGTTTCTTGTGAACCTTACCACATTCGTTTTTGGCTTTGTTGATGATATTGAACTTACATCAAAAGATAATGAACCATTTTTTTGCTGGAAATCTGCTGTGTTTCAGATCCACTATGAAAAAGTAGAAAATGTTCTGTTCTAAGCATTGCTGTGAAGACCCCTTCAAACACTTATTGATGTTAGTTACAAATACATCACATTCTTGGCTAAAATCAAGGCAATTGAAACATCAAAATCCTTTTTCATATAAAAATGTATTTTTTCTCCTTACCTTGCTGTACAAACGATCCATACACAAACCACATTGAGTTGTAGAGAGTAGTCGAAGTCATTGATCCCATCTGTAATCGTGGGGGATTAAGCCAGTTTAACAGGTAGACCAGAAGACCCACCAGAAGGACTGTGCCAGCAATGCAAGCCCATAGAGAGAGATCAAATGGTGCAAGACAGGCAAACATATCCACTGTCTTTTCAGCTCTTCGAAGCAGTACTCCCACTGAGTAGTCCATGTAACGTGTTGTAAAGTCCACCACATTTTCACGATCTGGGGTGATGGTTAAAGCAGAAATCCCTATGTCGGCTCTCTGAGAAATTGAAAGAGAAAAGAATACATTAACAGTGTGAAAAACAATTTGATTTGTGCTATTTGCCTTGAGGAAAAAAAAATAGATGCTTCAGGCAACATCTTCAGTGTTTTTCTTATAAACTGAAAACACTGTAAAGACTTCTTACTGGGGTGCGAATTTTGCATTTCTTACTGAAAATCTTGCCCCACCAGAGCCAGACAAATTACCTTGTTCATATTATCAGTGAAATAAGCATGTAAAATCAGGGAAGACTATTTCAGACACAGATAACACCTGAAGAAAATTGTCTTCTTTCCTGGGGTCATTTTATCAAAGCCATCATTAACATAGTGGCAAAGGCGAAACTTATTTTAAGGAATTGCTTCTGAGAAAATGTTCCAGAGATATTCAATATATTATTGACAAATACAATTTTAGGTAGTTTATTTTAAAAGCTCAACATAGCATTTTACCTTTGGTTTGGATTTTTCTACATCAACATTTATATTACTGAGCACTAAACATATTAGAGTTCTTTAGCACTTTCACATAGCACTAAGTTATTATGTCATATGTCAGAGATCGCTACCATGATTTTATTGTATAAACCTCAGAAACATTTTAATGAACAATTAAAGATTAAGGAAACATTATTAATCTTGGGGTAATAACCCTTTTTCTCAGTGTGTGTCTCCTTGGATTGAGTGATAGCACTCAAAACTACAGCATATGCTATTTTGCTTATTTAAAGTACATAGCAGTAATGCAGTGAGAACACAGAAAAATGGCTTCAAATTTAAATTCTATGATACGAGTAACATATTTAAATACCTAAAAGATCACATCTTCTTTAAATAATGATCTGTAGCTGTGATTAAAGTTGTGGGAATTTCCTTTCAGACAAGTACAAAGAATAGTAAATTATTTGTTTAACATTTTCATTATTTTCCTGTATTATTTTATGATAAAAAATATGGTGAATGTTTAAATAAAAAAAAATTCCAGTAAAAGACACATGGCCATTAATCCCCCTCAAAATACTCCCTCTCACTTTGAACACACTTATCCCATCATTCTTGCCACTTTCTGAAGTAGTTTTGGAAGTTCTCTTTTGTGTCTGTAGTTGTGCTGTTATGGCTGCCTCAATGTCCTGAATCAATTCAAAACATTTTCCTTTCATGGTCATTTTGACTTTGGGAAAGAGCCAGCAGTTGCATGGTGCCAGATCCGGTGAATAAGGTGGATGAGTACATACCTTAATTTTTTTTTTGTTTTTTGTTTTTTTTTTTTGACAGAATTGCCATGCCAGAAGCAATGTGTGACACGGAGCCTTTCCATTGTGATCAAGAAATATGGTGAGTGCTGCTGCTGAGTGCCATCCCATGGAAAGGCAGGGATCTTCAATATGAGAAGCAGAGCATCGAACCTTAGTAACAGTGTGTGACAAGTTTCAACTTGTTCAGTGCATTTGGGTGTGAGCTACGGTTGAGAGAATATGTGTTTTAAAGTGTGCCGTAAGTCATCCTCCATCATAACAACAATCCGCGTCATGCATCACTTCTGATACTGCAATTTCTGTCAAAGAAAAACATTACGGGTGTGTCCTCATCCATCTTCTGGCACCGTGTGACTTCTGGTTCTTCCTCAAAGTCAAAATGATTCAGGACATCAAGGCAGCCATGACAGAGCAGCTACAGGCACTGAGAAAACAGGACTTCCAGAACTGCTTCTAAAAGTGGTAAGAACAATGGGATAAGTGTGTTCGAAGAGAGGGGTAGTCTTTTGAGGGGGATTAATGGCAATGTGTCTTTTACTGTAATAATTTTTTTTAATTTAAACATTCACTGTATTGTTTGATCACACCTTGTATAAAAACTGACTTTATTGCTTTTGGGACAAAAATAAGTGAAAAATAGCATGCCTAGTACAAGGCTAAACCAACTTAGATAACTCTATTCTCTGACGTAATGGTCACAAATATATTCTAGCTAAATTTGAGATTTGGGTATGTGTGCATATATATGTACATATATACATACATATTCAGTTCTCACAGCTAATAAGTATAGGAGCCATATTAAAGCTATATTTTTCTTATGCCAAAGCCTGTGCTCATAACCATTTTACCACATTGCAAGAAATCATTCATTTTCCAAATGATCTGTACTGTAGGTAGTTAAGGTAACTGGTTTTAGTACAATTTTTACCTTAAAAGAGTCTGAGATGTTGCTTTTAAAAATTGCATTATTCATATTGCAACAAGGCCATATTAATATAAGTACCATGAGTTTAGAATTAACTAAGAAGTATTAAACTTAATAATACTATATGAAAATAAACTTTCAGAGAAATAATTATTACTGCTTTCAAGCTCATGTATTTATTTTTCATAGCTGGGTATTAGGAATTAGGTATTTTCAGATTCAAAATCTAACCTTGATCCTTAGCTTTCTAGTCCTATCTTTTCTGAGTTCAGTTTATCTATTTACAAGATAAATGTAACAATGTTCAGTATGACTACTGTAAGCTGACTCATTTATTTTAATACTAATGGTGGATAAATAACTCTCCACAATTTAATTAGGCTCACAGAAGGTACATTTAATTTTTTTTTTTTTTTTTAGCTGAGCCATCCTGCTACCTGTTGGCAGCTCAGCGGCTGCTCAGCTCNCGGCTGCTCAGCTCAGGCTGGACTCGAACCGCTGTTGCTCAGAGCTCAAACTCTTGAGCGAGCTCTTAACCAACTGAGCCACTCAGCCGGCCCTACATTTAATTTTTAGGACATTGAAGTACTGTGGATCAGTAATTTACTAATTGATGTACTAGTGACCCAAAACAGTTTATGATTCAACTAAAGTCAGAAAATGTCACCTAAGGAGATATTTAGTGACAGCATGTTGATTGAATATTTGTAAATATTCATAAATATTGTGCTTATAAACAATAAATGTTTTATATGTAAATGATTATGAATTGAATTGTCATATACTGATTTTCATAATAGATACTTGTAAGTATCAAGAAGTGAATTTCTATAGTGGAATACAGACAGATATCTAGGAAATAATGTGTTTTTTTAATTTTTGGAAGAGGAAACTAATTGTATTATACGTGCTAAAATATTTATTAAATATAATAACTACTTGTCATATTTCTATGGAAAAGCTCCTAAATTCTGGTCCACTTTCAGCACTTGCCTATTCTGCTCTCAAGGAGAAATTCTCTGTCTTCCAATGGAGGGCATATCAGAATCATATAATGGGCTTTTTCAAACTGCATAAATACATTTACACAGAGACACCACATATACTCATGCACACGCATTTTCCCCTCTCTGAGATTTGTATACACATTCCTAGGGATGTGCCTCACTCCATCCCTCTGAATGAATGATATAGCAGACCATTGTGCTTGACAGGAGTATGTGATAGTCCTTATTATATTAGAGAAGCTCTACTAGAGCAGAAAAAAAGCCCAGAACCACTGATCCCGAAAGATGGTCCTAACACTTCTTGACTATCTCCAAACAACCAGAAATTATCAGAGACAAACAATCATTCCCGCTTTTATTTCTCTCTCTCTTTTGCTTTCTTATTTACATATGTATGTATGTATGTATGTATGTATATATGTATGTCAACTCACTTGTCCAGTTTCTACAATGACTTTTCAAGTCTCTACCCTCTTGAAACTTTAAATGTTCTCACTCCCCACTAACTCTTGGAAGTTAACCTCCACTGCTGTTTTATGAAGACTATAGAAGACAGATTAAAATTCACACTTATTTCTACCTCTCAACCTATATCCCACACCCAGCCTATTCTACTTAACTTTGATTTACAACAAAGGAGCTGTCTTCCTTCCTATTTGAGACCAACTCTCTATCAGTAAACTTATTAATCAATCCCCTCTCTTTCAGATATTTAAACTCCTTTCTCTAACATATTCAACATCATCCTATAAATTGTAGATTTCCTATGAAAAGATTCTTTAACTCTTGCTCATTAAAATTAAGAGAGAAAAGCCTTTCCTTCTACTCTCTACGACCTCTGACTCCCAGTGACTACCCATTCTCCCTTCCTTTCTCATAGTCAGTTTTCTTAAAGATTTGTCTCTATTTCCATACCTCTTAGTCACACCAGGAGGACTCTTTTGTATCCATTTTATTGAGTACTCATTACTCAGTGGACACAGCCTATCTTAATCTTTACATTGCTGAACGAAATGGGTATAGTTTAGTGCTCATCTGTTTAGTCTTATTGATAACATTTGAGAGTGATGATTGCTCCCTCCATCATAAACACTCTTTTCCTTGGATTTCACAACATGACATAAGCCTCTTTCTCAGTTCCTTTTTCAAGCATATGTTAACAATCAATTGGGCCTATACCCTTCTCTCATTTGAGATCCTCTGCCTAAGCAATCCCATTCATGTTCAGTACTTCCATGGTCCCTACCTACATACATGATTTTACACATTTATATTTCTAGATATAGATCTGAGCTCTGGAATTGAGACTGAGTTAATCAACAAAATAATTGACATTTCTATTAGATGTCTCAGAAATGTCTCAAATTTAACATGGCCAAGACCATATTAATGATATTCAACTCTAGTCCTTTTCCAATGTCTCCTGCCTCAGTGAATATCTTTTTACTTAAGTTTTAGAACATGGTGGCCACATTATGTTTCCCAGTCTTATGCCCCTTATCCCGTTTGTCACTGTTAATTTTACCTCCTGGGAATCCTAATATTCATTCACTTCTCTACTATTTACAGCTCTCATTGTTGCTTTCCTGGGCTCCTTATGAGTCTACCTGAAATCTCTCTTCCCTCTTCTCCAATCTCCCTATTGCAACAAATGTAATCTTTCTGTAGAGATAATCTGATTCTGTCCCCTGCCATAGTAGAAAGATTTTCAATGGATTTATGTTGCTGTTAGGAAACAGATTAAAACCTTTAACATAGTCAATACATCTGTAGATAAACTATTGCCAACCTACTGCAACATATTCAT